AGGAAACCTATATTAAAAAAACCTTGTCCTAAATTAAAAAAATAATTACTTAATTTAATAACAAAAAATTAAACAAATAAGTAAACAACTTTGTTTTATGTGAAATTTCTTTTGAGAATGTAAAAATACATAGAAAAAAGCTAGATGTGAAAAAGACTCCGCTTTAATTTGGATCGTGTGAATAGTTTTTGTGATGTACCTACAAATATTTCTAAAAAACAGACAAAAGAGGAAGCTATTATCCTACAGACTTCAAATTTTAATTATAGAGGGTTTATAGGGGGTCAGTCAAGTTGGCCCCCCCAATCGTGCAAACCCCCTCTATTATACATCATAATTTTGCACACATTTTGCACAATTTTGCACACCCCTTCTTAAATTTTGCACACACCTGCTTTGGAAATGGCAAGAAAAATCATGTGGGGGGGGCAAACTTGACGCTTGCCCCCCCCTTTGCTCCGACAAACTCTACTTTTCGTCATCATAATCTTCTAATTTTGCACAATTTTGCACACCTCATTTCAAATTTTGCACACCCCTACTTCATTCCTCACGGTGTCCCAAAAATTTCTTCCTAGCCCCCCCCACTAAAGAAATTCACTTTTTTTTTTGCTATCCTTATCCTCTAGTTTTGCACAATTTTGCACACCTCATTTCAAATTTTGCACACCCCTCCATCCACCCCCAAGGCATCCCAAAAATTTACTTACTCTCCCCCCCCCACTGACAAAATTTGCTTTGTTTTTATGCTATCCTGATCCTCTAATTTTGCACAATTTTGCACACCTCATTTCAAATTTTACACCGTTTTCAAATCTAGCCTAACCCCCACATTAACGTCCTCGCTCACTGTGTTTCCGAAAATTTTATCCAGCTCTCTCCTTGCCACTGCCAAAATTCTATTAGGTATACCTTGTCATCTAAATTTGCACAAATTTGGAAACCATAATTAAAAGAAGGAAAAGTATTCAAAGGCCAAGCTTTTATTTTTTTATCAAAATACTAGTACAATACAGAGAAATACAAAGAAAAAATAAAATATGAAAACAAAACAAGTACCTATTCAACTTATAATATTGGGACGTATAAAACAAAATTTGGCAATTCACCATTCGCTTACCAGAACAGGACTCGCTTTTAGTTTTGGTGTCGTTATAAATCCCCCAACGATTATTATTTCGCAAACTGTATGCTGTACAATGACTAACTCCTACGTTAGGTCCAATATAACCAACCAATCCTCGCAATACGTACGTCTCGTTGCACACTGTCAATTTCTTTGGTAAATCGTCTAACGTAATTTACAAAGTAAAAACTTTTTTATTGGGATCTAAAGGTTCGATCATAAGGTGTGTTAAACTAATTTTAGTTTTTAAATTCTGAAAACCTTGACATGTGTCACAACACTTACTACATTGTCTGGACTGAATAATATCCGCAATTTTTCTTTTCTGCGCGAATTCTATAACAACTTCCAAAGTAGATTTGTAAATGATATTATTTATTAATCCACAATTGCAACATAATAATCGTTGGGAGATTTATAACGACACCATAACTAAAAGCGAGTCCTGTTCTGGTAAGCGAATGGTGAATTGGCAAATTTTGTTTTATACGTCCCAATATTAGAAGTTGAATAGGTACTTGTTTTGAAATGAGGTGTGCAAAATTGTGCAAAATTAGAGGATCAGGATAGCAAAAAAACAAAGCGGATTTTGTCAGTGGGGGGGGCTAGTAAGTAAATTTTTGGGATGCCGTGGGGGTGGATGGAGGGGTGTGCAAAATTTGAAATGAGGTGTGCAAAATTGTGCAAAATTAGAGGATAAGGATAGCAAAAAAAAAAAGTGAATTTCTTTAGTGGGGGGGGCTAGGAAGAAATTTTTGGGACACCGTGGGGAATGAAGTAGGGGTGTGCAAAATTTGAAATGAGGTGTGCAAAATAGTGCAAAATTAGAAGATTATGATGACGAAAAGTAGAGTTTGTCGGAGCAAAGGGGGGGCAAGCGTCAAGTTTGCCCCCCCCCACATGATTTTTCTTGCCATTTCCAAAGCAGGTGTGTGCAAAATTTAAGAAGGGGTGTGCAAAATTGTGCAAAATGTGTGCAAAATTATAATGTATAATAGAGGGGGTTTGCACGATTGGGGGGGGCCAACTTGACTGACGATAACGAATTCAAGGTCAATATTACAAAAAAATTGTATGGCAGTAGAATGCTGAAAATGTTAATTTTTGTATTTTAAGTTGGAATTATGAATAAATAAAATATATGCATACTAATTTTAGTAAAAAAGGAGGGTTCTAAGAAAAATGTCCGCCATTTTGTTTTTTTAAAACTAAATATAAATTTTTTTATCAACGACCCATAAAATCTCTAGGATAACAACTTCCTCTTTTGTCTGTTTTTTAGCGGTACATCACAAAAACGTAATAACATCACAAAAATGTTAATAGGTATTTACCTAACTAGTGCGGAAAGTGCCACTTTTCCGCACGCGACTGCCGTTGAACAAACGACGCCTAGTGGAGTTTGGTCATCAGCCGAGTGCGGAAAAGACACTTTTTTCTGCAAGCGTGTGGAATGTTACCACTTTTTGCACGCATTTACTTTCCGCAATTTCGAGCGTGCGGAAATGTACAACTTTCCACTCGCTTGTGTAAAAAACATTTAAACGTAAGTTTTTGCTATACTTAACGTAAATCAAGAGTTTGGTATTTGTAATTATTGTTAATTTTAGCACGTTTCTATCCCGGTAATTCTCGAAAATCGTTATCTAAAGGTGAAAATAAAAGTTTGTACGTGTCACTCTTTGCAATTATTCTTTACTAGGCTCACTGTATTATGGGGTACGCTCCTGCGTCGCTCACTCCACAGTAAAGTCAAGGACAGAAATTATTAATAATTATTTGCATATGCATAATAATTAAACCTAAGTACGAGTATATTACAAAATAAATTCCCTTGTTTTTCTAAAATTTTAATTTTATAATGAAAATTATCTGAAAGGTAGAAAAGTATGGGGAGATGGCAAGGAGAACTTACTGAGGACTCTTTAGTGAAGACTCATTTTTTTTATATATCATTCTTCTTTAGGTTCTGTAATAATTTTTGTTTGACAGAAAGCATCTGTGCATTTAATTTTTTGTTTAGTGAATAAAGTTTTTAAACTTTATTTTTAACAAAATAGAAATTTTTACGTTTCTTTAAAAGTTGGTGTTCTATTTTGCTACTGTTTTAATCTAACAAGATAAGGTTTAGTGAAATTGTATTTAAATAATTCAATAAAAAAGAACTACATAAATAAATATCTAAAGATAGGGTTTTGGATTCCTAGTAAAGTTCAACCATTCCCGGGTACAGTGCAATAGAATAATAGTGAGCTTTTTTATATTCTTGAAAGAAAATTTAAAGAATGTGTGCAGAACAAAGTTAAGCCTTCTTTGTTTTAGATTTTTTTATTAAAAATGGCAACAAAGCAACATTTCAGATTTTTTATAATTTTACTGTAAGGAATATTTATTTATCGACACGTAATTCAATTGTCACCCAAATCCAATTAATCGTTCGTCAGTAATTAATTCTTTAATTTAGGTTAATTTTTTTTAATATACCCTGAATAAATACGAATTGAATTTATAATACAATATTTGAGGAATATTATGAGGTAATCCAGTACTTAAGGTAAAATAATTTTTCATCGATATTTATTACTATGGTGAAAACCCCAAGCTCACTTCATAAAATTTTGACTCCTAGGTAACCAGTGCCTGCGTATTTATTCACATTTGTAAAAGCTAAAATATAGTTAAATCGAATCTACAAAATCTAGTCGTCCATATCACGGATGGATTTAGACCATCATAGGCTGCTGCAGAGTTGCAACCTCAAATTTGCGTACTTACTAATAAAACCCATGGCCAAAAGCAAAGGATTGGGCAGTTGTAATCCGAAATATTTGGATTAAATAAACTTAAAAATGGAAAATTTAGTGCAAAAATATTACGAAATGTTTAAAATTCTCCAAAACCAATGAGTAAAGGAGTATCAAACCTTAGTCAATGATTACAGCCTGAAATTGACAGGAAAAATGTATCAATGCGATGCATAATATGCATATGCAATGCATAATATGCATCTGCAATGTATATTATGGATACAGTATGTAGCGGCGTATATGCTAGTATACTATAAGGAAAGCATCAATAGGCTGTAGACAGCGCTTTCTGATTGACTTACTAAAAAGTTCTATATGATGAAACAAAACTGTCTCAGAAGTTCTCAAGAAATTCGTAGTTAAAAGGTTTTTCGGGTATATATTTTTATTTTGTTTGGGTATATATTTTAAAGTTATAAATAAAATAAAACAATTGAACTTCAGGTTTCCAAAATACTAATAACATTTTTTTAAAACGGGACACCCTCTAAATTTTTACATTTTAAAAGACAATTTAATTTGAAGCAAAAATGTATTATTGCCCAAAACTTAAAAATAAACAATTATTAAGCACTTTTACTTTCTGATGGTTCCCTGCAATCCAAGTCGACAGGACGTCGACATTCTAAAATGCCTATATAAAACTAGCTATCTATAATAAAAAATACTGCTAAAATGTAAAGTATAAAAATAACACATTTTCAATTCTTTATTTTGTGCAGACCGAATCTGGCGCACGCGAAAATTAAGTTACTGGGATCCCATAGAACTTCCTACTGTTAAAGCAAAATCTATCATCTGATGGCTTTGCGGTTTCAATAATTTAATATGAAATGGCTCACTAATGCTACAATATATTTATTATATTCAAAATTATTACCCGAGTGATATTAAAAGGTCAAATGTCGTGACATATAGCACATGCCTTGGTCACAGTTGGATTTTAACGATTTAACCAATCATAGAATACAAATCTTACATAACGCATTTAATATTAATAAAAAAATTATTAGTAGGTATTTGAAAACAATAAATGGAATCAGTAAATTATAAAATATATTAAAATGGTTTAACTCTTACAGTATTAAAAATATATTTGAAAAAAACATTAAACAAGAATTCTGCATATTTCATCTTTTTGTAACTGATTTAGTTTCTTAGGAAACAAAATTTGAAAGTTAACGAGGATATCACCTCTAGTAGATGGTTCTTTGGGAAATGGTAGTCCACAACCATAAATTGCTTTGGTTGACTCTGGCGTAATAACTTCTTTGGTGCAGTCCACCTGCATGGCTCCACCGTCAATGATTGGAACTGTGACCACACAACCGCATAAAGATTGTTTAAGAGTCACTTTGGCCGTGTACTTCAAATCGCTTCCCTCGCGTTTAAAGATTGGATGAGGTTTATCCCTGATGATAAAAATAATGTCTGATGCAACTGAGTGAAAATCTTCGTCCCCTTCCTGTGGGTAGGTGATTCTTGTTCCAGGCTTCCAACCGGGTTTGATAACAATGCTTAACACCGTGGATTCTTCCTTTATAGTATTATTGCATTGTATCCTTTTTCTTGTTATTTTCATATGCTTAACACATCCGGTAAATATGTCTTCCAAGGGAACGAATAGTTCGCGTTCCACTGGCGGGTTTTGTTTTCTTGGAGAACCCGACTTTGATCTGCCACCATTGTGTTTGAAAAAAATTGACTTAAATGGATCTTCGTCGGAGTCGCTTCCAAATCCTGATTCAAACCGGAACATCCTTTCGAAAGGATTAGCGGTACCAAAAAATTGAGCGAAAGTAGCTCTTGGGTCCCCATGAAAGGTATAAGTAAAATTTTCCCCGGAAAAGTTTTGCCCTGCGTGCCCTTTTAAACCTTCTTCGCCATGCTTATCATACACATCCCGCTTTTTCTTGTCTGATAATACCTCGTAAGCTTCAGCTACTTCTTTAAACTTTTCCTCGGCGTTAGCGCTCTTATTTTTGTCAGGATGATATTTCATAGCCAATTTTCTGTATGCCTTTTTAATTTCATCGTCAGAAGCATTTCTAGGTATTCCCAATATGTTATAATAGTCTTTAGCCATTCTATTAAATTTAAACACTACGTTTTAACACAAATTTGGACGTCTGAGTAAAAAGTACAAGAAAAGATAGTGGTTAACTATTAACTGTCAAAAATTGACAACAAAATACGAATTGTGCTTGAATTTACATAAGTATTAAGAGGAAAAACTTAAAAAAACGATATTATAGCTCGAAAAAGCGCGAGAGGATATTGACTACGTGACAAAAACCGCAGCTAATTGGTCTAAATTTATTTTACAGCCTAGGAGACAATATTAATATTATACAATTATATATATTATACAATTGTATAATATACTACTAAAGCTTAAATTATAGAACGCTTGAAGATAATTGTATATTATTATACGGGAGATAATGAGCATAATACTATATTTTATCTACTCCAATAAGTAGATAATTAAGTGATTTTCAAATATAATTAATTTAACGCTGTGGCTCCCGTCCCGAAGCGGGACTTAAGTACAGTCCCGAGTGACGACATAATTTTAAGATTTGTTATGTTACGATAAAACTAAAACAAACCAACAAAACCAACCAGCCCAACCCAACCCAACCCAACCCTACCAAGCCCAACCCAACACTTTAACAAAGGAACAACAAATTTATATAAAAAAAAAAGTTCGACAACTTCTAGTAGTATCAGTACCTCTCGCATGCCAAGCGACCGCCCTTTCAGCTGAGCCATCCAGCTTAACATTAATTTTTAACGCTTGGGGAATAAAAACGGATTTACAGTGTGACCTCACTGAGGTCACCTCAGTCGGGATCGAAGTCCCGCCTCGAAACGGGAGCCACATCGTTGATTTAAATCTGATATCTGTAAAATGGTTCACCTCTGTTTTTACCAATTCTTAAGGTTATTATAGTCGCCTTCTTTCAATTTTAAACCCGATTAGTTCAAATAACAATGAATATTGAAATTGGCCAATCACTGATGCCTAACAACGTGAATAATTCGTGTTGTTAGGAAGAGAATTTTTAATATTTTTATCATTATTCACGAAAAAAAAACGATATTATGCAATAGGAGTCAAAAAATATATTGTTTTTTTTTTAGGTGCGAATCCCACATTACGAGACAACGGACGTGGTTTCAGAGCAGACCAATGGGCGCGTTTTTGCGGACGATACGTGTGCGCCGACGTAATTGAAAAACATGCTCGTCAGCGTCTTTTAGAGCGGTCCACATCTTATGGTAACTGGGGAGGAGAAAATGAAATTGGTGCCCGGGTTCTTATGGGCAAAGTGGTACCTGTTCCACCGATGCCACAACAAACATCTCATGGTAAGTTTAAATCCTATTGGACCAAAAAATATATATTTATACAGGGTGTTATGTAATTAATGTTATATATTAAAATAATGAATACCTTTTGACATAAGGAGTGAAGGAAAAATATATAAAAAAGGTTTTTCCAAAGATAAAGAAAAAAATATGCATTAGAAGTTTTTTATATTTTTTGTGATACGCCACTGGTTACACACTTGGTTTATCTCTGCACACTTGTGTTCTGTGAGTACATCGATAACAACCAACAAAGTAGCTGCGCGTGCCAGATGTAAAAAATTGTTACTAACAATTTTTCTTGCAAAAAATAAATAAAAACTCCAGCTATTAGCTTAAGCAATGATTAGAAAATTTAGTGCCTATTTTAAAAAATCCATAACCACAAAATTAATTTTTCATCGGTTTTTTTCTTTCTGTTTGCTCAGATGAAATTGGGACCAGTTCACAGGTTAAACTTTAAACATTTAATTTGTGTAAATAAATCCAAAAGCACTTGCCTTAGCTAAGATATTTACAATTTGAGCACATAACCTAAAATTTGAAAGAAATGCACTGGATTCTGTCAAAAAAGTAGGCAGATTTTGTTTGAATTTACCTTCAGTACAAAAATGACATAACCAACAATTAATAAAAACGCCAAATTGACAATTTGCATTGTTAATTTTGTCATTTTTGTAATTAAGCTAAATTTAAACAATGTTTGTAAACCTTTTTAACAAAATTTGGTTGTTACCAACCATAAAATAATAAATTAAATTATGCAACCAGATTAGCCTATAGTTCCTAGTAGAAAAAAAAAGTTTCAGGTGCTTCTTTATGGACCCTAAGGAACAACCCATTTTAATATATATTAATATAGCATTAATTACAAAACACCCTGTATAGTAGTACAGTTCTTTTTTTGGACTCGTGTTTTTTTATTAAGTTGGTAGCTTATGCCAGTTTGATTTAGTACTTTTAGTATTTAAAAAATGATACTTCTGCTGAAGACCTTATAATTAAATACTCTGACACTGTCAAATTGACAGTAATATTTATTATTTATAATTTACTTGTTGATTATTATATCATTCGCCACGACGACTATAGTTTAGTTAATCATTGCAACCAATTTTTGATCCGTATTTACCAACCAAAACACTAAATTTGCAACGTTGCCGCAGTCCAAATTAAAAAAAAAGAACTTTAGGTAGTTTTTAAAATCTAATTGTCAAATACAGTCCCGGCACTTTCCAGTATCATTAGGAATAGCATATGGGCATGTTCTACATATTTAACTGAAAATATTTGAATTGGCACTTTCTATCTTCAATTCGGAATTGAAAATTCCATAACATAATTTTCATTTCATTTGTGTTTGTTTGTTTTTTTCCTGACTTTAGTTTTATCAAGTAAAACATGAAAAGGGAATACAATAATGATATAGAAAAAAGTGAATCGTGAACAAAAAACGATATTATCATTAGAACATGACCAGTAAAGTTCGCTTAATATCAAATAGAATAGAAAACTACCCTTTTAATTTTACTGCTTTACTTTTCTGTTAAGTTTATTGCTCGAATCTTTAAATTGGGGTAATGTAAGTGTGCTAAGAGTGCTAAGTTGATCATTTACTGAAAGCATGCAAGTTTAGATTTGCAGTTTAAAAACATGTGCAATTGCTGTCCATTAGGAATTTGTAACAATTTTAATATACAAAAATATAATAATATTGCGTTAGCGACCTATGAAAATTGTGGAATATATGTCAAGATCAATTAATTTTCTTTTCTTGTATAAAATTAAATGCAAGCACTACGTCCTCTATTTCGTAGCTTGTTGATTAATAAAATTATGTAGATCCTAAAACCCCTAACCGTAGAAATCCTTTAACAAAACAAGAATATCTGGGTTAATAGTTCTAAAATAAGAAAAAGTAAAGAAAAATTGTTACACACTTAACGATTTAATTGAAGGATAAAACTTTAATATCGTCTCATATAAATAAATATTTGATGAAAACATTGTCTTTGCAATAATCGTTTAGGAAAATGTTTTAGAGCACTCTTGCACGTTGGGCATTAAATTTTATTGCCACAGATATTTGAATGTTTATACAGGTCATAAATTCAAAACTTCGTATTACGGAACTAAGTTCAAGTTTCTTGCACGTCTTTTGGGTCCTAGAAATATTATAACGGTATAATATAAAAGGATTTTAAACTTTAGGTCCTTAAATAGCTTTAAACCGCATGATTTAATTGACATTCTCTACTAAGAAAGAAATCTTGCATATTCTACCAACCCTTTCGAAGAGGTTCGGCTTCTTCAACGCACCTAAACCAGAAAAACAAAACAGCCAAGCAAGAAAAAAAATCAACAGGATAGCAAACGTAATTATTTGTAATTATAAATCTGTAAAAAACTTTCATAATCTAACACCAAAGCACTAAACCAACAGTTGCCGTAAAACGCAATAGATGGTTACATAAACAAAAAAGTTCAGTCACCCAGACAACAATAATAAACACGCCAACACATCACTGCAAAGGGCATTGCTAAAAGAAATCAGAAAAGCACAGTGGGATAAAATAACTTGTACATCGACTTCCTTTACTGATGACTTGTTAACGTTTCTCTCACAGTGCACTGCAGTGGTGCAATTTACATACTTGTTTCCTATATCTTGTGCATACTCATACTCAACATTATTTTTAAAGGGAAAATCTTTATGAATGTGTACATATTTTTTTAGTTTAATAAGGACCCATGGCCAAATTACCAATGATCTTCAATTAAAGTATTTGATTAACAATATATATATATATATATATACATATATATAATAATAGGGTGTCCCTTATTTTTATTTTTTTTTACACATACGTTCTAATTATATTTATTACTTGTTTATATACTCCCAGTAAAAATTTCAGCTCATTCTATAAACGGGAACCCGTGCCGACTTGCATCTAAACCCTCCGTTAGCCAACGTTAAGCGCGCGCGGTATTTTGTAACACGAAACACTTTAAAAAGAAGATATATCTTCTTTTTAAAGTGTTTCGTGTTACAAAATACCGCGCGCGCTTAACGTTGGCTAACGGAGGGTTTAGATGCAAGTCGGCACGGGTTCCCGTTTATAGAATGAGCTGAAATTTTATATATATATAATATGATTACTAATTAATATTATTGCTTTTGTTTCTATCATTTGTTTCACTAATTTAGTTGATTTTATCCCTTAAATATATTAATATACTAATTAGTATTGCTAAAATATACTGTTATATGAAATTTCAGCTTTTTTATAAGCATATCTTTTCTTGATGTCCTCCCAAAAATATTTCAGACAGTTCAATAAGTTTTCGGTAGTCATCTCTCACAATAGACTCTTTTAGTTATTTAGAGTAAAACCCATTAAGTTTATCAATTTCAGAGTTTACGGCCTATTCACCAGACCCTTCCGGGTAACTAGCTACTCCCTGTGAAAATATACATTTTTATCAAAGTATACACATAAATAAAACTATATTTTAACATTTGTCAATAATTTATAATATAAGGGTCACATAATAACAAACACAAAATGACTTACGATCGAAGACCTCGCGACCAACCGTGTTACAAAATACCGCGCGCCTAACGTTGGCTAACGGACGGTTCAGATGCAAGTCGGCACGGGTTCCCGTTTATAGAATGAGCTGAAATTTTTACTGGGAGTATATAAACACGTAATAAATATAATAAGAGGGTATGCGTAAAAAAAATAAAAATAAGGGACACCCCAATATATATATATATTTATTTATATATATAAAAAATTTCATGTTTTCATTTACAAAAAACGGTTTCCCACAATATCGCAAAAACATGAACTAATAGAGCAAAATGATGGTCATTTTTGAAATCAGCGCACCCGAATTACACTAGAAAAGTTACAAAAACAAAATATGGATAATATCCACATCGACGAATTGCTTTGGTTGTTTTAGCTGTATTTACTTCTTTATTTGCCATAATATAAAATATAATAATATATTTTTCTACTCCCACCATTATCGTACATGTTTACACAACACCAAGTGATCTTTAAATACACATTTACAAGTTGTGGCTTTATGGCGTTTTAGTCACGAGCTGAAGTTAGCAACAAGTTTCTGTCACGGGCTGAAGTTAGTTGAAAGTTGTTAAAGGTCATACAATCGTTAAAATAAAGAGCCCTTCTTGTGAAACAATAATGTGGAAATTATTTTTAAATCATAATACAAAAATAAAATGTATTAGTTTCTCAAAGCCAATACTTATGGTTAGGCATCAGTTATTGCCGATTTCAATATATTCACTGTGATTTGAATAAATCGGGTTTTAAATCGGGAGAAGGCGGCTATAATAACATGTAATAGTAAATTATGTATCAAGTTTTATAAACGCCAATTTAGTTACGAGTTTTATTATACACGAGCGAAGCTTGCTAGCGAGTGTTTAATAAAAACAAGTGTCTAGAGAAGTTTATACAACGAGTTGCATTCTATACTAAATAGTCTTTATCTACGACGAACAGAAATAAGAATTTAAAGCCAATTTTTATTCATAAATATTTGACTTTTGACGAATTTAACCTCACTTTTTCGCAATTGAATTCCCGGAAAGCAGAACCGAGTCAGCGCTTGGCCTGTAGTCAAGAGAGGGGATGAACGCGATGCACTGCATGGAGACCGTTCAATTTCAACAAAATTCTTTAAATTAAACTCGCGATAACTCCATAACAAAATGTGCGATTTTTATGAAATTTGGACAAAATACTCAGATTGGTACAGCGATTCTATTAAAATAAAAAATACAAAATTTCAACCACAATTAATTAATAAATGCATCAATATTATTTAATACACATAAAAAAATCTAACATAGTACCAAGAACAGCGCTGTCATTGAATGCATTAAAATTGAATCAATCTAAATTGTTATTTGCTCAATTAATGACTTTAAACCAAAATAGGGAAACATTTTGCCTAAATGTCAAAGAATTTATTGCGTTAAATGTATACATAGTATAATAACGTTATTAAATAAATCAAATTAGTATTTAATGCATTAACAAAAGTTAATTAAAAATATGATAATAAATAAATAATTTAAAATTTTGAATTATTTTTCAAAATGTGAATATTGAACAATAAATCCTGAAAATTTCATTAAAATATCTCAAACGTTTTTTCTTAAATATATTTTTTAATTAAATGTCTCAAAAATTTTCATTGTAAAAAAATTGTTGTTAAAATGAAAATTTTAAAAAACTGTTTCAGGGTTTCATTATTGATAGTAACTGCTTTATATTAAAATATATTAATTTGAATTCAACGATCAAGTGGGAAATAGGGGGTCCACTTGAGGTAATCTTACTCATTCTAAACAACATAAAAATGGACGTCGTTAAAGTCTTTGCAGTGGGTTGCCTAACTTCGTGATTTTTAGTATGCCAAAAACGAGATAGAACAGACCTTGCTGTGTGGATTGTGGACATATATCTATAAAAGAAATAATAATGGTTCAAAACCTCAAGCGTCCAAAATTGTCTGATTGTCCACGTCCCATTGATTTAACTATAGTTATAAGGAAAATGATCTCACAATAGACAATCTTACTACAGTATACTGACAGAACAAGTTTCTTCTTTATTCTTCTTATTATTTGAGGGAAAGGCAAAAGTTAAGAATTTCTGAGTACCACCTCAAAATGGGCGATAGGATCCGGTTTTCTTAGAATTTTGTTTGTTTTTTTATTAATGATACTGCAGAACGGGGAATCATTCTTATTAAAAAATATACTGAGCAAGGACCAAGAACAGGGCTCCCACACCTCCTAAAACTCATAAAATTCCTAAAATTTGGCTTAAATCTTGAAAACTCCTAAAATTCTCCTAAAATTGCATTCAATCTCCTAAAACTCCTAAAATCCTAAAAATTAAATTTAAATAGGCCAACCTGACTGCGTTTAATTAAGGTAGTGCTAAAAAAATTCTATTTTAAAAAGTAATTTAAAAATATATATTTTTAGGTTCTATTTTATTAAATTCTTTTTAAAATGATACATCACAACCAAAATTTTTCATAAAAAACAACAAAAAACTTCTACAAAATTGTCATTTTTAGCGATATTTCTTTTTTTAGTCAAAAATAGACAGTGTATAATATACACTGTATATATCAAACAAAAGGATTTTTAATTTTCTTTTAAATGACAGCTAAAATAGCAAACTTTATATTTAGTTATGAGATTTTTAAGTATTAAGATCCACGTTACAATTAAATCGGTGAGAATAAGAACAGTACAAGTCCAAAAACTTAATTTTGAAAATTTATTCTAAAATCAATTTTAAAGATTAAAATACATTTTTGTGAGAAGATATAAATTATTTTACTGAATATGAATATTATATTTCATAAAATAGTTAAAATATTCTAACAAAAATGCATTTAGAACTATAAAACTGATTTTATGAAATATTTTATCAAAAATTTTACTTTTGGACTCGTACTATTCTTAATCTTATCGATTCAATTACTGCTATTAACTAAACGGTTAACATATTTGTTCTTAAAATATAAATATAACATCATTTGATTTTGGTATAGTTTTTTAGCCAAATCTATCGACGCATTTTTTTTAAAAAAATTAAAAGTGTGGTGAAATTTATACTTGTATATATATGTACCTCAGATATATACAAGTTTTAATTTTACCTCACTTTTAATTTTATTTAAAAAAAAAACTCGTCGAGCGATTTTTCTAAAAAACTAGTCAATATAACTTATTTTTACAAAAGAAGTGTTAATTTTGTTCTTATTTTTTAAGTAGTAAAGAGTTGTTTTTATTTAATTAAAGAAATTCATTTCCATACTTTATTTATCCTAAAATTTTACAAAGAACCTCCTAAATTCCTAAATAAAATTTGTAATTTAGCTGTGGGAGCCCTGCAAGAATAGTTGCAGTTGTATTCTTCTCCTAGTCGAAAATCATCATAAACAGTTTCCTGATTCCTCAAACATTCCTTATGTCATAACCCAGCAAACACAGCAAAGTGCCGGTACGGGTTCTGCAGCAGAATGTCTTCCGGGCTATAGTTAGCCCATTTAGAAAGATCTATTTATACTGGCCCTGCAATGGACCAGGCGACATTCTGCTGCTGGACCCTTATCGGTACTTTTGATGGAGTTTTTAATTAAAGTGTTTGATTTTCCCAATATACATGGGGCCCTTTAAATTTTAGAATACATAAATTTAAAAAAAAAACTTGTGGAAACAAAGTATTAAAAAACCTTTTATTTTTGGACTAGGTTAGGGTCTTTAAATTTTAGATTTCATAAATAAAAAAAAACTTGTGGAAACAAAGTATTATAAAACCTTTTATTTTTGGACTACCTACCTATCTTGTACAATGTACATTATATTGAAATTTTGTATGTTTATTAAACGAGTAAGTTGCATCTATTAGCTAAATTAAGTGTTATTTTTTAATTTATTTCATTTCGATGGGGGGTGAAACCCCTAAACACCTCCTGAATCCGATAGTTTATTAAGCGCATTACTGTTTTATTTTCTCCGTGTACAGCGCGCTGCAGCGTTTAAATGGCTAACCAATTTCCTGTGGCTAGTTGATTTTTATTTCTGATTTCTTACCGAGTTTGACATTAATCCATAAAAATGTAGATTTTTTTGGGAAATATTTAATTGTATTTGTTTGTGATCTTGAACCTTTACCAGTTCCATTTTGATTTTAAACTGAAATGCATTTAATTTAATATTTAAAATACATTATTAAATTAAATCTTACATATAAATCGTATATCGTATTTTTAGGGCTTAAATCCAAACTTCGTAAAGTTTTTCGCACGTCTTCCGGACCTGGAAACACCACTGATGCGTATTCCAGTGCCAGATTAGTGACTCAATTGACATCGGCCGCCCTTTGCGCCAGCTCTCCAGTTCTTCCATCTGCACCAACAGTACCTCCAGTGGTTAAGTCACTGCTCCGGCCCATTACCGTACCCAGGCTTCAGATAACACTTGTCAACAATAACGGCGATTTTCCAAATAATAACATCAGTAACGGTGTATCAAAGGTAGGAGGGATTAAAATTTTTTTATGAAATAAGTAACAAACCAACTCAATCTTGTAAAAATTTGAGACCAATTGTGTCTTAACTATAAATAAATCAAGGAAATTGCAAAAGACATTTTTGAATACGCGGAAGAATTTTTTGCAAATTTTACGTTAAATTTATTCTTTAAGTTGTTAAACCGTCTTAAGATAGTTCCATGGACATTACTTAAATGCCCAAAAAAAAACACTTTGACATTTGAATGCGGAAAGGCTGCGTTGCAACGCGTTGTGGTGACGAGGAGTAAACGAGAAAAATAATAATTAAATATATATTTGTACTTTTATTTGTTATGTTTTTATATAATAAATTAAAAGTTTTAAACGTTAAAATTCATATTTTATAATATTTTCATAAAATAAGACGTTAAATTGACAGATAAAAAAACTCAATCATGAGGGTTCGTTCTTAATTCAAAGGTCAAAGTGGGCCTTTTAGATGTTGTGCGTATTGGGGACCAAAATTTGACGCTAAGTTAAAAAAAATCGGCTTTTGGTCCGAAAAGCCATTTAAAATTTCCAAAGACATATCTACTTAGCTGCATAAATACTTAAATAATAATTGTAATTTTAATTTAAAAAGTTTTTCATAATCAACAAAATCTATAAATTTGAAAATTTTAACCAAAAACTAGAAAAAAGGCTTTAAGAGAAAAAAATATGTTTTAATTTAAGTATTCAATTATTTAAAGGCATTCACTTTTCCAAATAAATTGGTGAGTTAATTAATTTTTAATTATGCTTTAATTAAATTTAGATGGTTGGTAACTATAATATTGAATTTTAATTATATTATTATTATACTGTAAATTAAGAAATGATTTATTATATACTTAGGTTTGCAGAGTAATCACATTATTTCTTAACAATAGAAACCAATTTCATTTATATTTAATTAGCACAAACATTTTTGTGAATATTCAAAATTCTATGAATTTTGATATTTGTAGTGACCAATTATTATATTTTAAATTTAATATAATTTTTTAAAGGGAGTAAATTCCTATAGTTATTATATTATATTTATTTTAGTACATACATATAAATTCCCGAAAATTTCTTTTAGAAATGTTTAAAGTATGTTTAGTTAGAGGTTTTCCGGCGACCCCCACACTAATAGTGGCGCACCATATGCCAAAAATGCACCTTTTGATATTTTATAGTCAATAGTGTAGTACTTAATACAAACAATTTATATAATTACAATTATGGTATAGGCTATGATGGCCCCCAATCACTAAGCGACTACCTAATTATATTTTATTTTTAGGCTCCCCCTGTAGTTCAGTGTACCAGCAATGGAAAAACAGTTGAAGAAGCTGCCATACAAAAGCCCGTGAGGATGAAAAAGAAAAAGTAGCATGAATGCCATCTCTGCAAATGGTAGAGCAACTTAAGACTTGATGAGACTGTTTTTATCGTTTTTGTAATTGAAATATTACATTATATTATTGGTAAATACCTGTCTAAATTTACTGTTAGTTCCCTTATTTTATAGTTATCAATATCTGTATTAATGATAATTATCAATTACTGAAAAAAACATATTACAAAAGTATCTTAGCTAACAAGTAGCTGTCTTTTCAATTACAATCTGATTCGTTTGTAACATTTGGGGAGCGCAAGAACTTTGTGGTCGAGACCAATAAAACAAGGTGTGATAAATTTAACAAGGTCAATTATATCAATAAAGATATGAATGATGGGCAGTATTTTCTTGAATAACAAAAAAGATATTATTAATATTAGTTATTCGCTTTGATATAATTTAATAATAAATATATTTACTTGGGGCGATTGAATAACAAATTAAAATAATTTACAATTTCTATCGCACCGATTATGTGATATAAAGTATTGTTTAATTTGTGTCTGATACATATGATTAAACCTTATAAAAATATTAAAATATATTGATTAATTAACATAGATATAGGTTTATTAATAACCCAGCGGGCGACGGTCGGCAATATGATTATCTATTTTAAAAAACGCGATGCATCGGCCCGACTTTTGGCCAACATAATTGTTTTGTATAATTTTTCAATGGCGCGCCAACGTGGTCATTATCGGCATTAAGCTAATGCCGCTGATAAATATTTGCTGGAAAATTTATAATGTTATATCAAATTAATAATAATAACTTTGTACAGAATGTCCAGGAAAACAAAGCTCTTGAAATACTGTATATTACAGGATAAAATAGTTTAGGCAAATTATTTGCCGTAAATATTTATATTCCATGTACCTACCTATAACATTAATATAATACTGTACTAAATTGATTGGGATCAACTTTCTTTATAAACGGAATTGAACTTTTTTATTCCTGGTGGTGCTATATTTTAAATAATAATAAATTTTATTGTATTGTATTCATTTACTATATTAGCATTTGTTATTATGTATTATATGAACTTCAGTTACCCCATACTTAAACTGTATTTTTAATTAAATATGTGTGAATTATTCTTAAATTTTTTCTTTAACCCAAACAAAAACCTAATCCGTAATAAATCTTTATTAATTAAGGTAATCTAAACATTAAAATATAATTTGTAAAGACAATTTTAAATTCATATAAGTCATTTAAGTATAAAATTCATTTGAAATTTGAACGAATAACAATAAATAGACTAAACATAAATAAAAGTATATTACACAATATATTACACTCCAAGTAAAACCTCTATAGAGTAGGTGATGAAAAATGATGACATTAAATTTCCCACTAAATTGCACACTATTAAATTAAAGTTCATCATTAACTGACTGCTTGTTTTTTCGTTTTCGCTTATTTTTGATTTTTGACAGAATTTCGTAAGCTTGTTGAATCTCCATGAATTTCTCCTGTGCTTCTCTTTGTTGGTCAGGATCTTTAACTTTGTCTGGATGGAATTCCCTACTTAGCGTTCTCCATTTGGAGGTTATCTCCGATTGGCTAGAGGAGGGACCTACTCCCAAAACCTTGTAGGCATTTTGCTCTCCTTGCGGATCCGAGAGCTCAATTATTTGTTTCCAAATCTCGTACCTAAAAAACAATTAATAGCGATTTTGGTTCCATAATTTTTTATTAGGTATATTAAATTATCTAAAGAATTTTATCTTTAAAATGTTTACTAGAACTATCATTATAATACCTAAAACAACTTTTTATGAAGGAATTTAATGTTTCAATGTCTCCTTAATGTTCGGCTCCTGTCTTATTCGTCATACAACGAGATGTATTTGTAACTGATGGAATCTTTGTTAATGAAAATAAACCATTATCAATTGTTAATGAAAATGAAAATATAAGACATTTCCAAAAACTTATTGGAAATCTGCCGTCCAAAGTAAAAGAAGAGAAAAAGAAAGTTTTTTATATTGGAATACTTACTGAATAAATTCTACATTTTACTGTGCTTAAGATTTTGTTTTTATAACAGCGACACAAAGAACAAAGGACCCATTAAATTTAAATCATCATAGAGAAAAAAGGGTTAACAAACACAAATATGGAAGACGCCTATAAATACTTATAATAAAGATTTCGGAGGTCCATTTCCTTTAAAAAAAAGTCCAGTAGAGGGGTGGACGACATTCTGCTGCAGTTTGCCTGTGTTTGCTGGTATATTACCTATTAAAGTGGAAAGCTTATAGAAGTACTATTGGTTACAAAACAATACTTGGATGGAAAAGTTATTAAAATCTGAGACATCCTAAGTGCACATGTAACATGTGACATGTTATAATATGAATAGTAGGTAGTGTCGAAATGCGGCAATTTCTGAAAACTGTGAATTTTTCTGCACCAGCGAAGCTATACTTCAGCAACAGACTCTTTAAAAACTCCGCCTTTCACCACGAGATATTTACACTATTATTGATGAGAAGCACAATGAAAATTCGACTAACGCTGCCTTTTGCGATATCGCGAGACAAAAATCGTTAATATTTAAACGTTTTTACACATCATAGTGAAGTTAAACAAAACAGATAAAGATAAAGATAAAATTTACTCGTATCAACCTAAAGACGTTAACTAAAGAAGTTAACTTTCGCTGTAAATGCGAATGTTAATTCGTCTGCTTAAGAAATTTCTTCAGAAATTCGCCATTTTTGCCTCATTCGATCTAAAGGCAGCAAAAGTCGAATTTTTGCTGCGCGTGTCATAAAAAGTTATTAGGTACGCAAAAATATATTTTGTATTCAAATTATTCGTATAAAACAAATAAGGATACTTACCACCCGTGATGTTGTGCATAAACATAAATATCATTCAAAGACTGCTTCAAGTCAGTCCACCAAGGTGATGTAAAGAAGTGATGTATAGCTTCGTGTACCGGTATTTCATCTCCATTGGAATCGGTAACTGTGCCGTTAAAGTACAGATAAGAAGACCACACACCCGCGTACAAGAGTCCGCACACGAATAGTACAGTAACGCGGGTACAAAAAGTCTGTTTCTTGCGCGGTTTCCTACGCCACTCTTTGGAACCATTGTCGAAGACAAGAGCGGTGCAAGTCACAAGGATCAGCATCCAGATGCTATCGTCCAGGAAGTACCATCTGGATGTGTATGCTATGTAGGAGGTGACGATTGTTAGCCATGGCTTGCCTTGCTCGCGACCAATATTGCCAACTGTCCAAACACCTAAACAATAATTTTAGTGAGAAAGTGGTCTATCACCTCGTCACTTTGCTTTGCTTCGAATGTTGTTATCGACAGACTCTTTACTTCCGGGTAGCCATGTAGTCCAAAGACCGAAACAGGCTGTCTATCGATGCCTAGTGCGAAGCACGTTTAAATTTAAGCACAATAACAAGGTGATTAGCCACTTTCTCATATTATAGGCACTACTCCTTAAGTAAAAAACCATGTTGAATTTTAGTAACTAAAACATTGTTATAATATTTGCATAATATGATTGGGATTTAATTATGTATTTTTCCTGTGTTTATTAAAACTTATTACATACATAATTTTTTAATTTCTTTTAATTTTCACTGGTCGACAAAAAATATATATTTACTTATTTTTAGCTGCATGGTACACAAGTTTAAAATAGAGAATATTATACTTTTTTCGAATCGAATTACCTAAATCGATTAATTATTATATTCGATTCGGATTTTGAATCAAATATTTAAACTATTGGAATAATTCGAATGCTTGAATAGTTTTAATTCGAACACTCTTCACACACTATAGTGTGCGAATAGTTTTCCTAAAGGGACTTCCTATAGGAATGTTCCGTGATAAATTTATCAATAATTTAAATGACATGTTAAAAATAAAAGGTGGTAGGTGTCAAATATAAAAGATGAAAAAAATGACTAAAACCAAATTTAGAAAAATTACAGAAAATAAATGTAAAAAAATGACAGGTGAGAGTCGTCTAAAATAGTTTGAACCCCGGTCTTGCATCGACTGATAGCCTAGTTTCGGAGTTTTGGTCCTCTTCAGGCGGGGTAGCCATGTAGTCCAAAAGACCGAAACAGGCTGTCTGTCGGAGCCTGGTGCGAAGCACGTTTGAAATAAAGCAAAACATAGAGGTGATTAGCCACTATACTGTTTGAATAGGGGTGTTCTATGATAAATTTATCAACAAAAAAACTACGTCTACCGTGAAAAATTTCTTATTATGTGACAGATGTCAGAAATAACAGGTGTTAAATATAACAGATGACAAAAATGACAGAAACCTAATGTTAAAAAATACAAAATATAAATGTCAAAAATGAAAGGTGACTGACGTCAAAAATAGTTTGAACTACGGTCTTGCAAGTCCGGGTTTCGACGTGGGCCTTTTAACGTAGGTATAGTTTATACATAGTCGTTGTAAACAGTATAAAAACTAAAACTCAACTCATAGGCGTGCAATGCGACAGTAGAAATGCATACAAGCCAGAGACTTGTCTCTGCAACAAGCGGTCAATACCTACAAATTGTGTTATTTTATTTTAGTGCGTGATGCAGTATTGTACCCCATATCCTTGCTGTTTACACTAACTTCATATAAACTGTACCAAGCCGATTGAGGGGCTTTGTAATAACAATTACTTCGAAGTGATCACGACTTAAATCGATGTAAATTATCCGACACAAACTCAAACAACATTGCATTTTCGCGATTGATTTTGAATTTTGGTTCCTATTTAAATTCTGATGAGTTGAAAGATCATACAGTAACACCGTGGTTCGAACTATTCGAATATTCAATTTGTTTCGAATAATTCGTAAATTCAATATTAGAGTCAGAATTCGTGGAACGGATCACCAAAATTGGTGGTAAAATAAATTAGTTTATTCTGTTAAGTTTAGATATAAAATACGATTCCCTAAATAAGGCTGCAAAAAATATTTTTTTTTAGTTAATAAGTATTATTCAATATTTATTGGATGAAATTAAATAAAATTTATGAACATTGTTTTAATATATATATTGTAGTTTACAATTAAGTAAATAGTTTTGATTCATCAACCCTCAATATCTGTCAATTTACAAATGTTTATTTATAACAATTTTTTCAAAAACATTGTTCTGAAGCATCAAAAAATATTTTTTTAAATCACAATTATAGTTTAGACCTTTTTAAATTTAAGTGTTTAACAATTAAAAAAAAATGTTCTGAAGCATAAAAAATATGAAAAAAGTCACAATTAGGTATAGTTTAGACCCTTTTAAAAAACACATGTAAATTTGAAAGTGTGATATATTCATTTGAATTTGGCGATGCATAGCGTTATCGAGCGTGCATTAAGCATGGTACCTATGACGTGATCATTCTAGCGCGCTCATAAAAGGTGACAGACGACACTCCATTTTAAATCTTTTTAAAATTAAGTGCATAAGAAGTCTTTTTTGTTTTAATTGCTTTTTTGTTTTAATTGCTTTTTGGATAGAAGCAATCAAAAAGTGCTGCTTTGAAAGAGTGATAAATACAAAACAGTAGGCCGTTATGGCAAATTCAGCGGTGCCAATGTTCTACGAATTAAATTATTATTTAAACCTAAAATCAACATACAAAGTAAATATAAATATATTTGTGTTTCGACATCACAAAATATAAAAATGACGGTTTTAAAAAGTGCGCAAAAATTATCATCAGCGCCCCTAAAACGATCACGTCATACCGCTTACCGCATGCTCGATAATGCTAGACAGCGCCAATTTGAAATGATTATACCTACATATCTTTTGAACAAAAAATACCAACACTTTTAAATTTACTTGTTTTTTAAAAAGGTCTGAACTATAATTGTGTTTTTTGATATTTTTCGATGCTCCAGAACAATGTTTGACATTTTTTTTATAAATAAACATTTCAATTGATTCATGATGACGGACGCTACCATTTGACCAAAATCTTGTCAAATATTTAAAAAAAAATGCCCAAAAACTAAAACTGATTTTAAAGCTAATATTAAAAATTGAAAGTGGAGATGAGGTAAAAAAAATAACATATAAAATAATTATGTGACATTTAGGGATTCCAAGATTTTACTTTTTAAACTTAGATGACGGACGCTACAAAAAATGGAAGTGGAATAAATTTATTTTATGTTTCACCTGAATATTAGCAAATTGATAATGGATTAAATTTAAACTTTATTATAATATATTAAGCATTGGACTAGATAAATATTTTTTATTTTTATTTTGTATTTAGTTTAATAGATAATATATAAGTACATGAAATATGTGATGATGGACGCTACATGACGGACGCTACAAAAGTTCCACCAAATTGCTAATCTTTTATTTTTCAATTTAATTCAAATAAACAACCAAAAACTTCACTAAACAAATAAATTCTACATTTAACAGTAAAATATGCCACTACTTAAATACAACACACGATTCGTAACAGTCTAACATCTTCAGTAGATGTAGTAAGTCCATTAATTACGCAACTTTTCGGGGATAGTTTGTAAAGCTAACTTCTGCACTACAATTTTTCTTTTACGAGGACTTCCTGGTAACATAATATTATTTTTAACTTTTTTTAAAGCTTTACCCAACGTTTGAGGACATCTGTAAGGACTATAAGACTGCTCAATATTTTGTCTCATTTGTTTAATCTTTGATGTAACGCCTCATTCTTTCAGTATCTTTTTTCTCAATTTTTCGTAAATGACTATCAAATTGCAACTTTTCTTTTTTCTTTAGGTACTCTTTCAACTTTTTTATTTTCGGCATCTTTTTTTAAAAGTGCAATTCTTGTAATTTCGTCACTTTTAATTTTTTCTTGATAACGTTGCGCGGCAATTCTGTTTTGTTTAATGCGCTTCTCCTTTTGATCTGTAAAAAATATTCCACCGGTATAAAAATCTCTCGAAAAATCTTTAAACAAGGTTAGAATGAGCATTTGTGTGTTTTTAATTTAGTCTAATTTAACCGTAAAACAAGATAAATGAAAAATCTAAAAAAATATTACTTAAACATTTTTTGCTTACGGACGCTACATAAAAGTTTAATTTAAAAAAAAGATAGATTCTTGAGATATATAAAAAAGCTTAATATACTGACAAGAGGCAAAATGTGTGTTTTTAAAAATAAATAATTTAGTCAAAAATTATTTATCTTCATTAAGAAATATTAAGTATTACATCTTTTTGATGACGGACGCTACACTAACAACATAAAATAAATAAAGTTAATAAAAAAATACTACTTACTCATTTTGATTTACAAAATCGTCACCAAACACTCTGATAATTAATATTTTAATGAAATAAAATAATGACAGTTGTATAATAAATGACATAATCACTGAACAATAGCCTGCTAAATAACTTATGTTTTGATACATTTTGTTAGGATGCGTTCGCATTAAGTAAAATATTGTTTTAAGGGCCTAATAATGGAAAATATATTATTTTTATATTAGATATGTAAAATTTAGACTACGTGCACAATATTTCATATTAAAGGTATTGCATATAAACAATTTTAAATTGTGCTCCTTAGTTTCAAATTCTCCGGAATGGCTGATTTATAAATTACCAAATATTGAAGGTAGGCGAATCAAAAAAAATCGATTGTAAAATACGACACATCTTAATATCTTAACATTGTTCACAAAATCTTATATTTAATCAAATGAAAAAAAACTAAAAATTGTTTGACTGTAACTGGAAGATTTTTTTAAGCAGCCTTATTTGGAAAATCGTATTTTATATATAAACTAAACAGAATAAAGTAATTTATTTTAAAAAACAAGAACCATCAATTTTTGATGACCTGTTTCACAAACAATCGTCGGTCGGCCGCTGATTATCGGCAACTGCAATCGCCTTTTTACATCGGGCCGACGTTGGACTGACGTCGGCAAATGAAAATCGATTTCCGACCTCGGTACAATGCCCTCGGCAAAAACAATACATCTCACCGCTGCTTACGCTCTAGGGTGGGCCAAAAAAAATTTTAATTTTCTTTTTTTTAGCTACCATGAAAATATTGTCCAAGATGACGAAAAAAAATTCTGATAAAGTTTGAGCACTTAATATCAATATTAATAATTAATTTAAGAGGTGGCTCATCGCGATTTTTTATTTTCCATTTAAATAACACGGCAAAAATACATTTTTTTGTTTGGAATTTTATTGCGTTTTAAGGAATCAGTGAGTTGTAGAAATCAATACATATTCTTTTAGGGAAATGAACGATCTACAAAAAAGATCTGATATGATTTTTTGCATAGTCGACTCTTTTAAAAGTTATTTCATGTTAAAGTTCAACTTCAAATAGTAAATGATGACTTTTATAGTTTTTCATACGAAATATTGTCTCAAAAACATTAAATACCTATCATATTTTTCGTGAAGTTTATCGAGTGTTCTTCGGTAAATAATTTTTTTACGAAATATCAATAATCGTGAAAAAAACGGTTTTTTTTCTATACTTGATTTAAAAAAAAATCGAATTTTTTTCTTTACATAAGTAATGACAAAAAAAAAAAATTATTTTCTCAAAAAATAATAAATATTCTACCAATGGGTTCAATAAATGTTTGATTGATTTTATTTACCTAGGGCTACAGCCAATGGAATTATCCAATGTAAGTGGTTGAAATTTATTCCTGCTACTTCATCGGCAGGAATTGCTAACATCACCAATTGACCCCATAAATATGCTACCATTACAGCAGAAATAAATCTGCTGGTTGAAAATGGAGGCTAGAATTAAACAAATATTATTATATTAATATTATCTGTTGTTTGTACATTCGTAATAAAAATGGTACATTATTCGCACTATTTCCGACCGACCACTTTAATTATGATCCCTTAGGGGAAACGCTTATTCTTACATTTTAATAAGACATGGAATGAAACAATTATTTCAATTAATATAGCAATTATTGTAAACATTCTAATAAAAATTAGGTAATTAAATATATTTCAAGTCATAATGCACTGACTGTGGTCAGGTAATTATTTAGTACTTATTAATTAAATTAAATTTAAATGAGTAAAATCCTAACTAAACTCCAAAAATTTTACATTAAGGAAAATTAATTTGCATTTAGTTTCATTACGATTATTTTAAGGTAGCTTTAATAACGGCACCTTCATATTTTTTCTTATCGGAATAGAAAAATTAAAAAAAATAAATTACCTTGAAACAAAAACGATAAGGTTTTACTTGGTCAACAAATATTTTCCTTTTACAATTTATTTAAAATATTAATTATATGTTATTGTAATTGTTATTATTTTAAATTTTAAAAAATAAAAATATGTATTAAAATATAATTGAATATATAAATATTTATATTTATTATTATTATTATTAGGCATCAAATGTTAATTTAAAAGTCTAGCACTCTTTTATTACAAATATTGAAACAAAATCATTGTTAAAGACATTTTTCTGTGTTACAATATTTTTTAGAAATCTGTCAATTAATAAATGTAAATATAATAGCATGTTAAAATATCAATTTGGAAATGTTTAAATTAACAAGAAAAATACTTAAAGGTTCTATTTTAGGGTTCAGCTAACAAAATGACATCTTAATGATAAGTAAAATTCAACAAACATAATCAATGTTTTCACCTGCAGTTATTTTGCTATACCTGTATACAGGTATAGGAAAATAATTGCAGAATACAGTAAAAAGGTGAAAACATTAAGTACACTATAGTGTTCTAGTAATACTAGTCTAGTATTAATGTTTTCACATTTTTACTATAGTATACTAGACCTGTACTCTGATAAAAAAGTGCAGTTTTATACTGTTTCATACTGTCAACAAAACCATTGTATTATTGCCAGAGCATTTTAATATGAACGTTATTTCAAGATTTAAATTTATTTTTTATAAAAACAAAAAAAAATAAGAAAAAAATGTATTTGAACATTACCTATTTTCTATTTTTTTCAGATAAGCAAGCACGTTTAAAATGCAAAATTTTAAAAATGTTATAATTATTCAGTTTTTAAAGAAGTTATAAACGAAAAACCATTAAAAAAATCGGTTAGGTGAACAAAATTGAAAACATTCAAGGAAACGTTTTTAGTGGGCGGTATAACGTAAGTACAACAATTTTTCCCAAATTAAAAGGGGTCGATTTGGCGTGGAATATTTCATATGCCCCCTATGCATATGACATATTTTATATAAAAAAAAATTAACAAGGCAGAGTGTATACATGGATCAGTATAGTATCAGTTATATTTAAATTATCAAACAACATTTTAATATTAAATAAATGTACTTAATTTTATGTTGTTTAATAATTTTAAATAAATTAATTAATATTTAAAATATATTTCAAATAATTGGGATGGTAACTACCTATCACTCCCATGACTTAATTTTTGTTCAGGAATAACTCAATGGGGTAAACCATTGTTTTTGGACCTCTAAAAGTAGTAAAGCAAAAACAATGGCTAGACCCACAGTCTGTGGCTAGACCCATACCTCCGGCAGCAAAGCGAGCGCCGTTAATTAATCAAGGCCAAAAATACACTAATTGGGTAAATCATATAATTTATTTATATATTTAATTAATTCGCCAATTAATATAAACATACATAAATATATGCAAATGTAAGACCAAACTAGTTTTTTAAATTATTTAGAAAAATGTAGTGCAATTTTATACCTTTTTATAAGATTTCATGCGCTCCACTAGCTCCGCTATGTACTTTGGCTCCTCGTTATAGTCCTTGACATATCTTGGAATTTTAGTGATATCAGCCAACCATCCCAATCCATAACCTCCAAAACTACTCCACGTAAGAAAGGCATGCACATCTCTTTCCAAATAAAATAAATGCAAGCCAAAAATGCCTCCAAAAAGCCAACAAACGTAGGCCCAGAAGATGCTTTTCTTTTTGGAATCTTGCGGTGCTGCCATGTCAATAGAATTTCGTATAAGTTACTACGTGCTGGACATTAATTTGGGTGGATACTGTTATTTTCTTTCTTCCTCAAACACTCACTAACACTTATGTTCTGTGACACGGTACCATTCGAATTTATTTTTCGGATAACATTTTATTCGCCATACGGAAAATTTTGCCGGTTTTCTTTTTGTTTTGATTGCTATTTTTTTATTACATGGTAAATACAGGTTCATTGAACGCAGGCGACTCTGTGACTACCGACGGTTGACCACTCAGCAGAAGACAGGTACCTCGAGAAGGTGGGATGGTACTTCCACGTATACTGGAAGCGCAGAAGAAACTTGGCGCAGGGGCGGCTCTAGCCTATGTACTTATAGTGTGCGTATACGTTTAATTAATAAATGATTTATTTCATAGTTAATGGAAGTAGTCATTTATTGTAAACATAAGTACACGATCCATTTTTAAGAAATAAAAAAATATTTATAATGAAAACATAGCCTATGGCATGACATTAAAGAATGCTATGATCGAACTATTATGTCATTGAGGTGCACCTCAATGACATAATAGTAACCATTTTCACAGATGAAAGTTTGTTTCCAAATCGGCTCATTTTCCGATTTGACGATGTTTTATCCCTGATAGCACAGTTTATTCTAAGAATGTTTTTTAAACCTTCCAGTGGGAATATTCTTAGGATCATGCTATAATTCTTCTAGTCATGTTCTAAGAATGTTTTTTAAACTTTCCAGTGGGAATATTCTTGGATCATGCTATATTTCTTCTAGTCATGTTCTAAGAATGTTTTTTAAACCTTCCAGTAAGAATATTCTTAGGATAATGCTATATTTCTTCTAAAGAACATGCTTAAAAGAAATATAGCATAACCCTAAGAATATTCTCACTGGCCTATAGGCAGGTTCTTAGAAGGTGCAAAGTTTAGTGGTAAAAATTAATCCACTTTAAACATATGCTTAGAATGTTGAGAAAGTAATTGCTATGGAAAGTTCATTTAGGAATATTCCTGGAACATTCTGTTAAGCATCTTCAGTTCAGTTAGGTACCTATATAATAGTAAAATATACCATAATCTACGTATAAAGGTACCTATACTTAGTATTAAATACTAAGTAAAAAACACAACCCAAAATATTTTTTTATAGTTATTTGTCAATATTCGATAACAAAAATACTTTTACTATATATAGGTATAGGTATCTAAATTATCCGGCTTTTACATAAAATCTTCTATCCAACTTAAATACAATGAAAAATGTTTTTTTATGAAGAACTTTTTGGTTTTTTCTTTTATGAAGAATTATTTTACAAGGAAATATTTTGTTTTTTTATATTTTATTTTATGTTAAAAATAAATATTTATTAATTTCTATACCGATTTTTTATATCTGAATTAACATTTTTATGTATAATAATCCTAACAATCTTCAGCTTCAATCTAATCTGACTTATCCCACAAAATTTTCCAATTTTTCTTTTTATGAAATAATGTCATACAAATTGGTCAAGGTCAAATTGTTTATTTAATATTTTTAAATAAATATATATTAATATGTCGGAAAATTTTTTAAGGGGACGACAAATTGTATGTAGAATCCAACGTATTAGAACGTGGGTATCTGACATATTTGGAAATACTCCTAGAAGCTCCAAAAGAAACCTTCTAAGAACATTCCAAAAACGTATTCTTAAAATGTTCTTAGAATGCTTTTTAGGAAGGTTCTAAGAAGCTTCTAAGAATCTAATTGCATCATTAAAAGGGTATCTATTGAATGTTTTAAAAGTCTCTAAGAACATTCTTAGCAATAAGGGAAGGTTCTAAGAATATTCCATTATTTCGGGTCATATCTTCTTAGAAGATTCTTAGAATCAAATTTTGCTATCAGGGATGGCTCCCTCGCTCGCCAGACTGACCAAAATGTGCATATTTCTTATGGGCCTAGACCTAGAACACTGGAAGAGTTGAAGGCCGGAGATCGAAAAAGTCAATGGCCCCCTTTTTAATATCAATAAATGTTTACGCCCCCTAATTTATACAAAAACTTTAATGCAGTAACATTAAATTTATTTCTGTCAAAAAAATCCATTAATAACCCATAATATCCATTACCGCTTGTTTCGCTGTCTTGTAGTCTCAATTGAGACCCTGTGAACGCGACAATATGAGGGTAAGTAAATGGTAAAACTTTCTGACCGTGCTAATTTCTAAATTAAACATTCAAATATTGATTGCTTTAGGTATATTTACATTTAAACAACTATTTTTGCTAAATTTTTGGTAACAGTTTTTTCTCTGTGCTATCACGCTCCCTTAACATTGTCTGGAGCGCCCCTTTGGGTTTTTGATTCAAAAACCCAAATTGGGAACCACTGGTCCAAACATCCGTAAAAATGGTCACCACCTGAATGACATAATTTTTCAAACATAACATTATTTAGTGGCATGCCATAAGCTGTTTTAATTATAAATTTTAAAAAAATCCCAAAAATTGATTGTGTAGGTACTTCTAATTTCAAAAAACGACTCGCGCCGCATTTAAAAAAACACTTTTTATATAGTATAGTAAAAGAGGATTTATTAAAGTTTTTATATTGAATTAATATTATTTATGTATAGAAAGGTATAGGGCACACTTTTTATATAGTAGGTATAGTAAAAGAGGATTTATTAAAGTTTTTATATTGAATTAATATTATTTATGTATAGAAAGGTATAGGGCAAAACACGCCAAGTGTTCCCACCAAAAACCTAAGTTGTTTCCGATTTTGATGAAAGTTTGCTAAATCATTGTCCTATCGGACTACTTTAATTAAGCAAAAGGGCAGCGGAAAAGACTGACGGGTTGCAGATATACAGTGGCTTGAAATTTTTCTTTTTCTTTTTTCAGAATCTTTTGGTTGATACAAAAAATATAAATTACTTTTTTTTTAAATCTACAAATAATATATTCTATATTTTTTTTTTCGTTCTTTAAGATAGAGGTGGTTTCAAAAGCGAAACAATTTTTTTTGGCTAAGAAAAATTGATATAATAGGTAAATATTTTTACTTTTTTGTCAAATTGGGACCATTTTGATTTTTTTTAAATAAGTAGGTACTAAAAAAAAGCTTATTCTTTTCCCTAAATTTTGATATATATATTTAAATGGGATCTCGAAACCAGTTCGAAAATAAAAGCGTTGGATCGGGCATCGACTGGCTCTGTTCGATCCGCTATCAATCACAATACAGGGTGTCCGGAAATTAATGCAACAAAATTTGTTTACAGATTCTCGAGACAAATTTAGGGGACACTTATTTTTTAGTTTTGCCAATTGGCCTTCTTTTTCGGAGATACAGGCCCCTAAAAATCGCCCATAAGAATAGTGTTTTTCTTATATAAGAATATATATATCTCAGAACCCTGTTGTACGAGAATCACTAAATTTGGTATACAGGGGTTTTTTGTTACGTGGAATCTGATAGTGTTAGGGTTTTTGGCTGGGGACCCTCTTGAGACGTTTTTTCGTAGGCCCCCTTGCCGTATAATATACATATAATTATAATTTTGCTTTCTTCAAAATAGCAAGGGTTTCATCCTTGTAATAGACAATTATTAGTCAATAGGTTGGTTCGATTTTTATACAGTTGTACACTCAATTATCTATTTTGACCCCAACTCAAATCTGTTGGTAAGTTTTGTATTCATTTTTTTTGTGCTTAACAAGTTAGCCGGGCCGAAACGGACCGAATACGTTTGCCGCGTCCGGCCCGTATCAAATTTTATGAATGCAATTTAAATTTTAACTAACGATATCTCGAAGAGAAAAAATATATTAGACAATTGTAAAAATAATTTTAAAGAGCAAAATTATTAGTTAGGTTACCCACCGTAGGTACCACCTATACCTACCTACTAATCTTCTATATACCTACGTAGCTTTTTATCATATTTAACAGATAAACGTACAGATTTTGAGAAAATTTGGTAGGTATGAAGGTGTCTTAGGTATAAAGGTGTCTTAGGACGGAAACCGGAATGGAACGAGAACGAGGCAGTACAACTCTGCATAGGTATTTACTTATCTAAAGGTGCCTATTGCACTATAAACCTGCAACGTAATAAGTGAAATGCTAATGTTTAAATACTTTTATGATAACAAGTATACAACCTTGACCATCTTTATTCAACTATTTTATATATATAGGTATACCCTTTTGTCTCTGGGTATACGTGTACATATCTAATACAAAATTTAACATAAAACTATATTTCCAACATGTTTGTAAATAGTTGAAAAAAAATGGTACCATACTATTAGTATATATTCTAATAGTAGGTATAGTATATAAATTAAATTTTAACTAGAATTTTATAGTTTATACAAATAATAACATAATAATAAATAAACAATATAGTATTGTTTTAAGAAATTGCTTTGCAAACCTAAAGACATAAATACTTGAATGGAGTTATGCAACAGAAAACCAACCCGCAAAATTATAAAAAATGTACTCATGAGTACACATGAGTACTGCAGTAAGCACCAAACACTCCCACAGTCGGTCCGCGTTATGTTACCCCCGGTGCCGTTTGGCCATCTAGTAGATGGCATCAGAAACAAAGGTCTCTGGATGGCCTCTACTAACCGAAATCGGCCGGAATACGGCATATGCAATACAGCCGCTTACGCACTTACTATAAAGAGCAATTTGTTGCAATATTTAGTTGGTTGTGTGCGTCTGTAATGGCATAGCTGAACATTGAATTTCAGCACTGCCCTGCTTAAAATACCCCATAGAGACCTATACAAAATAATCTATCGGGCGCTACCGGATTCTATATGTGCATTTGTCCATGGGTTTTTCCGGATACAGCCCGATAGAAAATTTATAGGAAATTACCTATAGGCACACCATAACTTTTACATTTTCCCTATTGAGACCGATAGAAAATAACTCAATGAAGGATATATAGGGATATCCCTATAGAGCAACCATAAAACATTTGACAAAATTTTATTAAAACCTATAGGGTCCTATAGGGAAAAAACTAATTTCTACATTTATGTGTATTTTCCCCATTGAAACCGATAGCAAATAAATCAATGGTGGATATCCCTATAGAACAACCATAAATCTCAACTACGGGTCCTATACAAACCGATACACCCTATAGAAACACCATACATCCCGATACAAATATCTATCGGTTTGAACAGGGTCTCTATGGGGTATTTTAAGCAGGGTGAGCCTATAGGACAGCCTTACTCAAACTTTTTTTTTTGGGCCAAATATGTATGACTGCTACCTCAGGCGGGCCGCAACGACCTATATTACAATAAAACTCAACATTT